GAGCAGAGACAAAATATAGAAAACATTTAAAGGCATATGACAGTCAATATGACAGTCATGTGAAACATGACAAAGCTGATGAAGTGCCAATGAAAATGATGCACTTTTAGGCAGGCATATCCTTCAAGTAAGAGTAAAATTTTTTTTTAGTATATTATCTAGATTGGCAAACATGTCCAGTGCAAATGGAGAATAAATAGAACATCAAAGTACAAAACTAGCAATATTTTCGGAATCATGAAAACACTGGCTTCTATAGGCATAGTACAGTAATGTTATCTAATGCTTAATTGATTCTTTTTTTAGAATTTCGCTGCAAAACACATTCTGTTAAAAAGACATGAAAAGATTTGATGTTAAAATCTTGTGTCTACTATATGAATTAAAGTGTAACTAAAGGAAAAACGTTTTTTTTTTTTTTTTTTTCGTTTTCGATAGAATAGAGAGGGATTAGAACACCTGTCAGGTTTTTATTGCTTTCTCTATCCCATTAGTGAGATTCACCCCTCTCTATTTGTCTTGTTCACCACTATCACTGAGAGTGTAAGTTATGGAAAATCCAAATCTTCCAATGGGGACATTAGTTCTGATGACCCTGGTGATACCCTGGGATTCCCTCACTTAGGAGGGATTTCCTCTTGCTTCCTTTTTTGGCTTTGGGACAGGAAATGAAGTAAAATCTCCCTAATGAAACACAGATGGCCAAAAAAAATTGACAGGGGTTATAACCCTTCCTTACTTGGAAAATAAAATGTTGTCCTTAGTTACACTTTCAGTGTAGATTTAAACTTCCCATAAAGTTCTTACTACTTTATGATGATGTGGATTTCAAGGCCAAATAAAACTGAGATCTCTACTGTCAGGAACTTGGCAATCAGCAGGGCCACCCTCCTGGGAAGGTCACTGAGTATAACTCAGAGAAAACAGGATAACCTGGTACTACAGGTAGGACTTGGGCATGCAGCAAAAACCCTATTCAGTTAAAAAAAATATTTACATTTAAAAACAATTGTTGTGAAATAGCAGAAGGCCAGGACTTTTCATGGGCTGCTACATAGTGGGATATGTTAGTAAGTAATTAGGTCCATAAGGTTTTTATATAAAGACCTTCTTCTGAAAACTCTCATCATGATCCATTTTAGTAGTCTTTACGTGCAACAATGACCTAGTGCATTGACAAATTAAAGTAGAGCTGTCATTTCCCAACAAAGTCAATGAATATTATATATAATCTCTAAAGCATTTCCATTATCTAGAACTCATGTCACTGGTTACAACGGGGATATCTCATGACCTTACAATGCATGCCTGTCCAGGAAACCACAAGGCCTGCAGTTGCTGAATTTATCATAAGTGAGTCAGTATTACATCCATACACTTTAAAAGAGATTGGTGAGAAAAGCACTGTTTAATATGAAGCAACTTATGTAGATAATAAGATAGCATTGACTAAAGGGACAAGCATATGCTAGTATGCATGGTAACTGCTGAAATCAGTTCCTGTGACCTTAATCTAAGGATGCCATTTCTTGGTAGTAATTTGTACTAGACAATTTTCAAAGAACCTGCATGATGGCATGAATATGACTTTGCATACTCTTTATTCATTACCCAGTACTTCCAGCCTGTAAACATACAGGGAATAAATTAATAGGCCAAGTGTCAGACTTTTTTTAAATATTATGTGTGTATAATTAAGTAATTTGCAGGTATGTGATGCCTGTCAGATAATATTACCTTATGTATAAATTGCACAAAACCTGCAGTCTTATTATAGTAACAGAAGTCCACAATATGGATAATATGCAAACCTTCCAACTCTAGATCATTTCTGTACCACTCTGGTTTTGTAATGGCCAAAGTTCCAAGGGATGCCCAGGAGCCCCCAGCCACAGTACAGGCTCTCTATTGGAGATCTAGTGGCTTCTAGGCATCTTTTGGAACACTCTAGGGACTGAAACATTGATCTTGAGTTGGAGAGTTTGGAATAACCCTAAAGATGATTCCTTTGTTAAGTTTACCTATATGCTGTATTGTAGTTTTAGTTTTTATTGTCTATGTAAGGGCTGTGCAATGGCCTTTTCTTCATGGCAGAACAATTTTGCATTCAAATACAAGTCTATAAGAATGGAAATGCTGCATTAAGCAGGTCAGAAGGAGGACTGCAGGCCACACATCTACATGTCAATGAATTCCAAATGATCTCAGAAGGGACTCAAACTAATATCATTGACACAGTCCCTTAATTTGATTTCTACACAATACACTCTACTTTTTCTTGTGTTTTCATTTTTGGCTATGAACAGACTGGTTTCATACACAATTGATACCCGCTCCTGCCTGTATGTGTAAAACTCCATCATAACATCTTAGTTGCTCCACACTCTTTTACATGACAAAACAATACATTCTTTAGGCTCAGTGACTTAAACTGGAGATCAAGAGCTGCATTTTTATTTTTAAAGAAAACAATGTGATGAGAGGAATATGTTGGCTGTGACTGTTAACCCCTTTTCTAGAAATGCTAATGTACTAGATGCTTTGGCTCCAATACTTGAGTTACAAAATTGGAAAAAGCCTAGAAAGTAGGTATTGCAGCATTTCTCTTTTGTTTACTGCATGCTTTTTTCAGGTCTGTGACTCTGAAAAATTAAATCCAGACTTGCCCAGGAAACTAGCATTTTCAGAAAAAGTTGCTTATTTATCTTACTTTTTTCAATTATGTTGCTTTTTTATATGGGGGTCAGGATGTTAGCAAAATGTCAGAAATCTTTATTGGCATGCTTGTTCTGGGTTAGAGACTTCGAAAGATTTGAAGCCCTTGGATCAGCATAACAGCCAGACAAGGGGAGCCCAGCAGTGACAGCCTGCATATTTTCTCTCTCTCTCTCTCTCTCTCTCTCTCTCTCTCTCTCTCTCTCTCTCTCTCTCTCTCTCTATCGCAGCAAATGTATTTCATCTGTGCAATCTAAATGAAGTACATTTCACTAGTGTCAGTGCTCATCTATGAGTGTCTCCCAGCATTACAGAAATCACTCTTCTGCTAGAACAAGGGGAGAGGCACAAGGTAACATATTTTTGTGCTTATATAAGTTACATTTTAATAATGTACTAAGGTATTGGATACACATGTATCTTCTTTTTAAAAGGTTTGAACATCCCATATGTACCATCAAATCAGAAAAATAACAATTGCCCAGGACCTCGTAAGTACATATTAGATAACATTACAGATTCTTAAAATATCTATATTTTATTAGAATCTATTTTACAATATGCCACTTGTTTGTGCTGTTTTGATGTATATGTTACATATTGTAATTTTTTATACTATTATGCTCAAATTGTCATTACACAGAGTCCCCTTTTTACCCACCAGACCCATTACTTCTATCATATATACTTTTCAAAGTATTACAACAATTCTGAACAACATAATCATCCTTTTATCAAAGGTCAATTGAAAAACCTCTCAAAGACCAATGGTCTACTTCATCAGGAAAATTTCAGAGATGGAAATCTGAAATATAAATAATAATTAATATACTGCTACTATTCTACATATAACTTACATAATATATATATACTGTACACTCTGTGTAGCAAAGTGTTACACATAGTTTAAAGGTGATTTCATCACTTTGTGCATGTAGCTTTTATTTTTAGGCATTTGCACAAATTTTTTTTTCACTTATTTCCCAACTTGGCTAATCAAGACATACTCCAAACTGCACTTAAACACCCATCAAACATACCATAACATTTGTAATCAACATCTAAGGTGACGGCCTGGTTGATGCCCCTCACCCCCTGTGCAGAAAGCGGGTATTTGAAGCAACCTTTTGCACCAAGAACTATGGATTCATTCCAATAATTTGCAGAGAAATGTAATCTTCTTAACTACTGTGATTGTTGGAGGAATGCACATAGGCAGAGAAAAAAAAATATTGTATGGGGGTAGGTTTTGTTAGAGTATTTGAAGGTTCAGCAGTATGGAAATGATAAACTGGGCCTCCAGGTTGGATGTTGATTGTATATGTATGTACATATATATGTATACTGAATATTAGCAGTATCTTACTTACTGTTCATATTTCAGTTGTCCACCTCCTATAATCTCCTGATGTAGACCATTGGTCTATGAAATATGTAGAGAGATTTGTCATTCAACCCTCGATAAGAGGATGATTGTATTAATCAGAAATGTTGTGATCCTTGGAAAAGCATATAGGATATAAGTATTGGGTCTGATGAGTAATATGGAAGTTCTGTTATTGAACAATTTACACAGACTACTATGAAAAAGACAACACTTAACATACAGTATATCAAAACCGCAGAATAAAAAGCTATGCATAGAAGAATCGATATTTTTAAGAATTGGTGTCGTGGTCATATATACACTTAAAAAGACCATGGAAATTGTTATTTTACTGGCTTAATGGTATTCCCAGAGTACTATGAAGCATTCATGAGTACAGATGAATGCAATGTGCTTAAGTGCAACTACCAAAATAAAGGAAAAATAACATGCAGAGGTGTTATATTAATTTGTAACACTGATGGTTGATATATTAATCCTAATTCCAATTGTTTTTGGCCTTTTATGTCTTCTGAGTCATGGTGTTTATTTCTCTACAAATATAAGGAAAGTCATTAAACAACTATAAGATGAACAGTATTTACTGTAGACCTCTTTTTAAAGTCCCCTTATGTAACCATTGTAGACAAATGAGTTGGTTCTCCACTTGGCCTTAAGCTTTATAAATAATTAATTACTTTTTCACTTAGAAAACACTTACCTGTTAAAGTGACTGCATTCTGGGCAGATTTTGTCCATTTCCTTTATTTTAATAGTTGCATGTAAATATTACAGTAATGGATTCCAATACTGGTATGGAAATCATGCCCTTCTACAAGTTTGTGATTGATTAGTGTTTCAATATCAGAGCAAGCATGTCTGTTCAGTTCTAGACTAGCATAGTGCACTCTCGCTGCAGTGTCGACACACAGAGAAATGGCCTGGTGTTTATCTATGATATGGGGGGCAGTCAGTACAGCAACTTTGAGCTGGAATTAAGCAAGAAGATCTTGAGCCTTCTGAGGGTGAGTGTAACCTCCATTCATCCATTTGTCATGATAAAATCATCAACTTTAGGTCAGTGATTCTGTATTTCCTTATTTCCAAGGACACCTACAAAATATACCATTTGTAAACCTTAAGTGGCCATGTACCAGTACATCATAAGTTATCGTGACTATGAAAATTTAGTTCTTTCCTAGAGCACAAAAGAAAAATACACTTAGAAAAAAAAATACATTGTGCTCTAATTTTTACCTACAAAAGAATGTTCTGCTTGAGGTTTCTCTTCAACTTAGAGGTGCCCACTGTAGTAAGGTCCCCAATTTTTGTTAAATTCTGATTGCCCCATTTTTTGTGCGTCATGGCTAAAATACATGAGCTGCCATTGTTGACCCTTTTTATGAAAATGCTGGTTGCCCCACTGTGATGCTGACCCTCTGCTTTCAGTACTCTGTTGCTGACCCAGAACAAAAGAACCCAGAAAAAGGGGAAAGTAGAGGAAGAGAAAAAAAAAAGCCATTATCTGTCTTATCGGAGAATCAAAATATAGAAGGAAAGCTGGCTATAGACGGATTGATATTCAGCTGGTTCGGCAGGAACCGGACGAATTTCGACCCATCTATGGGCAGGCTGTTTGTACTGAAGTTGATCCATGGATCAACTTCAATAAAGCCAGCCTGTCAGGTTTTTATTTTTTGTGTTCGACAACTGCCAGTGGCTATAGTCACCAGCAATGTTCATTGTATTCTGACGGCTGGGAAACTTCCTGCTACAATAGTGCATCCGGAAGGATTCCCCCATCAACACTGACTGAATTGATGGAGGAATCAAGCAATTTTCTTACCTTCAACCTCCGCATAATGTACACACAGGTTGCAAAATGTACCACAAGGTTGAAGGTCTGCATAATGTATGACCTGCCTGAAAGTGTCAGAAGGACAGGCAAACAAGTAGCATTTTCAGAAGGAAAGGTTGGCAGCATCCATGTTACTTTATTATTATTATTACAGGTACATATATAGCGCTATCAATTTACGCAGCGCTATACATACATATATTGTACATTCACATCAGTCCCTAACTCTCAAGGGGCGTACAATCTAAGGTGCCTAGCTCACATTCATACCTACACATACTAGGGCCAGTTTATACAGGATCAAATTAACCTACCAGCATGTCTTTGGAATGTGGGAGGAAACCGGAGAACCCGGAGGAAATCCACACAGGGAACATGCAAACTCCAGGTTGGTGGTGCCGTGGTTGGGATTCGAACCAACGACCCTAGTACTGCCAGGCGTAAATGCTAACCATTTAGCCACTGTGCTTCATGACAAATCATCCATAACCCCTGATTTACAACTGTGCAGGTGATGCCACTGCAGGACCCGCACAAATACCTGCAGCCGCACCACCCACACAGAAGAATGCGAGACCCGCGGGCAGGTGCCTATAACTCTAATGGCACGCTGCCCGCACTGGAAAGCACGACTGTACTGGGAACCTTGGTTCCCGTGCGGCTATGATTTTCCAGGTAGTGCAGGGACTTCTTCCCTGCGTGTCCTGGGGCACGGGAGTCCATTCAAATGAATGGGCTTTCATGTGCACACAAATCGCGGCCCACACGAGTGTACAGATGTGAACAAGGGGTAACTTGCAAACTTAAATTTTGATTTGTTGGTCCATGCTACCCCAACTGTTTCAAACTTTGAATTAAGAATGTTGGCAACTCTTCTTTTATCTGCCCATTTTCCATTCTGGTTCCATTTACAAGTCATTAAATACACTGGTAATATGTGAAAGGAAGTTGAAGTGCTTCCCCATTCACTCTGCAGAGTTTGATCACATTTTCTCCACTCTTCCTGCAGTAGGTCTAGGGAGTCTAGCAAACTTCAGATTAGCCATGCTTATTGATCTAATCATCATTGCCCCCACCCATAGAATTTAAAATATTTTTTTCTGCCTTGATGTGAGCATATCCCATGTTTTTATGTTAGGGAGCATTTCCAGCTCGTCTAAAGAAAGTATTCATCGTTTCACCTCCTGTCTGGTTCAAAATACCGTATTCAATCATCAGCTTGCTGCTTAAGGAAAAGTTAAGAGAGAGGGTAAGTTATCTGTGTGTATTGTGGGTGTACAAGATATTACATGCATAGTTTTTGCGTTGTTTTGTTGACAATTTTACTAGAGACATTTGGCTTTAGAGCTCAAAACTGATACTCTCTTTCTGAATAGACGCTGGTGCCAAAATCTCTCTGTTGTAATTTCCTAATTCTAGAGAAGACATGCTTTCTTATTTGTCCACCATGGTAAATACATAAAAAAATGCAACAGTGAGAGGTCATAATGATAATGGCAGGTAGGTAGGTTTGAAGTTCTGATGCTTTAGGGGGTTATTTAGTAAAACTGGAAAGTGCAAAATCTGGTGCAGCTCTGCATAGGAACCAATCAGCTTCCAGGTTTTATTGTCAAAGCTTAATTGAATAAGCTGAAGTTAAAAGCTGATTGGCTACCATGCACAGCTGTACCAGTTTCCGAATGCTCCAGTTTCAGTAAATCTCCCCCATAGAGTCTACATCAACCTCTACAAACAATTGAAGAAGCTGGTTGGCATCTAACTATGATAATAGCTTTAACAGTACTTTACATGAAATATGAAATGTAATTTGTGCTACACAATCATCAAAAACATGCTTTCTTGTATCTCAATAGGTACACATGGTGAGCATGACTGAACTTCTCCAGCACTTACCTCCACAGTGTCTCCCTGAGTCTCTAGGTGGACTGCTTCCCTGGGATCCTGGCTCCTGGAATTGCCTGCTCCTGCCTGGCCGTACAGGAAGACCAGATCCCCTGGATGAGGTGGTACTGGTACTTGGAGACGGACAGAGAGGAAGTATACATAAACCAGTGCCAGGAAGCATGACCTTGGCTCAGCTGAAGGAACGGGTTAGCACTTTGGGGAGGCATGGAGTGTATGAAGAATATGAAGAGATAAGAAATGAGCAACCAGAGGGAACATTCACAGTATCGCTGTAAGTTTGTGAAAAAGTACAGTATATGATGATGGACAAAGGGAAGCAGTTTGCCTTATGGAATGCAAGGAACAACATTCACCCACTTTTCACACATTCACCCACTTTTCATCTGAACTGGAGAGTGCAAAATCTGGTGAAGTTGTGCATGGTAGCCAATCAACGTCTAATTTCAGCTTGTTCAATTAAGCTTTGACAAAAAAAACTGGAAGCTGATTGGTTTCTGTGCAGAGCTGTGCTAGATTTGGCACTCTCCTGTTTTAGTACATCAACCCCTTTGTGTGCAGCCTGTCACACCAGTGTTGTACTTTCTGATGGATATCCTTGCTATATTACAGAGAAATGACTAATGTGCGCATCAAGAACAATTAGGCTAGTTTCCACTTTATCTGTGAGGAAACTCAACAAATGCTACTTGATGCATCATTAGCCGTAGCAGTACAGCTAACACACAAAGAATATATATATGTGTGTGTAAAGTCACAACAAATCATTGCGCACCAGATTTGTTTACATACATATATTGTATGCACTGTTTTTTGTTATTAACTCCTAATATTTATTAATAATAATAAGTTCCTATCCTATTAAAACACTTGCAAACAAGATTAGGTAGCAGTACCTATAAATTCAAATATGAATGATGTAAACAGCCTGGTGTGTTGTGATTTTATTTGCATATTGTGTGCTGGGTATGAATGAAGATACCCTGGCTCGCTCAAATATCACCTCATGATGAGCACTAGGGAGATGTATGTTGGTATAATATATGTTCATCAGGAAGTCCGTGATGAATGCTCAGATCTCTGAAACAACTGCCATTTTTATAGCCAATAGATTTTAGCATTGGACCTATTTGTTATAGTATAAATATCATTGTTTCATATAGTATTCATGTTGCATTACATTGTTAACACACCTTAGCCTCAATTCACAAAGTTTTTTTACAATGATGATGCTCTTTATTTTTGCCATGTGACTGTATTTTTCAATTTTATTTGTCTGAAATGAACTGCCCCTTTTTACAGCTTTAGCTTTTTGTGTTAGCTTTGTGAATTAACCGCTTGCCGCCCTGCCACTGTGTATATACGTGTGCAGGGCGGCAGTGGAGCGCAAAACCACGTTTAAAAACGGGTTCCGCGCTCCCGACACTTTCGCCGGCAGGGGGCGCGCGCGCGCGCTCCCGCCGACCCGCGGGTGGTGACACTATTTGATCCAGGAGGGATCAATCATTAGATTTCAGCCAGTGATTCTGGTGAAATCACATGATCGGTCCCTGTCCTATCCTGTCCTGTGTTGACATACATATGATGTCATTCTTCTCTGCCTGGACACATTCCGTTCCAGACAGAGAAGAAGACATCCAAAAAGTGAGTACACAAGCACTACACTACAGTTAGAACACTCTAGGACACATTTAACCCCCTGATAGCCCCCCCCCCCCCCCTCCAGTTAACCCTTCACTGCCCTGTCACCAGTGTTTGACTGATCAGTGAAGCGATTTTTACTGATCATGTCGCTGGCGACTTTCGATAGAGTTAGCGCCCCTCCCAGATAGCGCCAGATTGCCCGCCAGTACACCAGTAATCCCGTTTAACCCCTTGATCGCCCCCCCCCCTTTAACCCCTACTGCCCTGTCACCCAGTGTCACTGATCATGAACCAATTTTTTACTGATCACTGTATCAGTGTCGCTGGCGACTTCCGATAGAGTTAGCGCCCCTCCCAGATAGCGCCAGTTTTGCCCCCAGTACACCAGTAATTGTTTAAACCCCTTGATCGCCCCCCGCCCCCCCCCCCCCCCAGTTAACCCCTTCACTGCCCTGTCACCAGTGTCACTGATCAGTGAATTTTTATGATCACTGTATCAGTGTCGCTGGCGACTTCCGATAGAGTTAGCGCCCCTCCCAGATAGCGCCAGCTTGCCCGCCAGTACATCAGTTTCCCGTTTAACCCCTTGATCGCCCCCCCCCAGTTAACCCCTTCACTGCCCTGTCACCAGTGTCACTGATCAGTGAACCATTTTTACTGATCACTGTATCAGTTAGTGTTAGCGCCCCTCCCAGATAGGGCCAGTTTGCCCGCCAGTACACCAGTAATCCCGTTTAAACCCCTTGATCACCCATTAAACCCTTCACTGCCCTGTCACCAACTGATCAGTGAACCAATTTTTACTGATCACTGTATCAGTGTCGCTGGCGACTTCCGATAGTGTTAGCGCCCCTCCCAGATTCGCCAGTTTGCCCGCTAGTGCACCAGAAATCCCATTTAACCCCTTGATCGCCCCCCCCCCCAGTTAACCCCTTCACTGCCCTGTCAAGTGTCATTGATTACAGTGAACAGATTTTTACTGATCACTGTATTAGTGTCACTGGTGACTTCCGGTAAGCGCCCCTCCTAGATAGCGCCAGTGCCCGCTAATGCACGGGATTTTTTTTACCAAAAACATGGAGCAGAATACATTTTGGCTTAAATTTATGACTAACTTTGAGTTTACGATATATTTTTTATAGCTGAAAGTAGAAAATATTGTTTTTTTTCAAATTTTTTGTGGTTTTTTTGTTTATAGCGCAAAAAAAAAAAGCGCACAGGTGATCAAATACCACCAAAAGAAAGCTCTATTTGTGTGTGAAAAAAAGGACGTAATTTTCGTTTGGGTGCAGCATTGCATGACCGCGCAATTATCATTTGAGTTAGTGCAGCGTGTATAGCAAAAAAAGGCATAAATTACAGTATCTATACCATAGTTTGTAGACGCTATAACTTTCACACAAAGCAATCAATATACAACTTATTGGGATTTTTTTACCAAAAACATGTAGCAGAAAACATTTTGGCTTAAATTTATGACTAACTTTGAGTTTACGATATATTTTTTATAGCTGAAAGTATATTGTTTTTTTTCAAAATTTTCGTGGTTTTTTTGTTTATAGCGCAAAAAATAAAAAGCGCACAGGTGCAAATACCACCAAAAGAAAGCTTATTTGTGTGACAGGACGTAAATTTTGTTTTTACATTGCATGACCGCGCAATTATCATTTGAATTAGTGCAGCGCCAAACAGCAAAAAAAGGCCCTGGTCATTAAGGGGGGTAAATCCTCTGGGGCTCAAGTGGTTAAGCTTCTTTTGTTATTCGACTGTGCTTTTCTAGTACCATTAGCAGACAATGTCCTGTGTTAATAGCCATAGTTTATGCCACAATTTGTAAGTGGGAATAGTATTGAGCCTGCTGGGATAGATTTGCACCTTCAAGGCAGTTTTTGTGTTCACAAGTTTGATTAAATCATGATTAAAATATTTGTTTTATATATATATTTCAGTTTGTATCTAACTGCATAACCTTTCTGTGACAGTTTACTTTACTTGGTATTTTATACCTTTGTATGTCAAAAAATCTCTTTGTCTTCCATCTTAAGAGCACCTGTAAATCGAGATCGGAATCGGTATGGAGATGTGCCATGCCTGGACCAAACACGAGTCAAATTAAAACGGGCGAACTGGCATGATGTAACTATCATATATATATATATTGTTATTGAAAAAAAAAAAAAACATACATGTAACATGGTTGTATAAGGATAATCGTAGGGAAAAGGGTTGGCTGGGTGTTTTTATAGTTGACCTTAGGTCTCATTCATACTGGTGTACTACAGTGTTTACCTGTCCAAGGGCCGTGTTTGCCTGCACGGGGATGCTCAAGTGTTCTGTGCATCCTCTTGCAGGCAGTCCCATTCATGTCAATTGAGACACAGCAGCTGTACAGTCACAACCACTACTCTCAATTTGACATTTGTTCAGGTGCACAGCCCTGAACACACGCTGTCAGTGTTCATGGCCATGCTCCTAACAGATGTCAAATCAGGAGTAGCCCTCGCTCAGGTATAGTACACCCATCTGAAGTAGGCCTTAGATTACATACTTTCCAAAACCTTCTGTATCCAGCAAATTGCAATGCATGTTGAATGGTATGTGGTAGTATTATAACATGAACTGAGAATTGTATTTGTTATATTCACTCTAGCAAGCTTCTTTTTTTTGTTTTGTTTCACAATATACAATGTAGATAGATAACATTAAAGGAATTTTCAGCTTACTGAAAGAGAGCCATTTTACCCCTCCGTGTGTGCAGTGGTGAAGGGCCTTACCCTTTTATTGTTCTGCTAATGGATTTCCATCATCTTCAGTGATAGGTGCCATGTTGATTTAAAGAAAAATCTCAAAAAACTTTGAGAACTCTGGGCAGTATCCTGTAGGTTGGTCACAGAGTAACAAGTGTCTGAGAGAGATGGGACATCATCCTATGACTGTTCTAAGATAACTGATGATTAATATCTACCAAACCTCAAAGGGTCATACCACTTTGGAAAGTTATTTGGGAAGAAATAGCAAGGGTAATAGTACGCTTAAAGTGAACTTGTGCCCAGACTATGGACAATTAAACTATTTACATATCCCTAACAAGCAATAAAAAACTTTAAAACAGGCTTTTATTGTAAAATCATTCCTTCTCAAAGACTTTAGAGTTTAGGTTTCAGTTGGCTTCTAAGACCTCATTCACATGGACATACTATAGAGTCAGCCCATGGGAAGACCATGTTTGCCCGCAGGGGACATAGGTGTTCCGTGCTGGCAGTCTCTTTCATGCCCACTGCTCCTAATTTGACAGCCATGTGCAGATAGTGTGCATTCAGTGCCATTAACCTGCAGCTGAAATATTATATTTTTTTGTGAGTTGTTTAGAAATTATTTGCAGAGTAAAGTATATCCTTCTCTTCTAGCGTTCAGACTACATAAATGCAAGTTTTATGGATGGATACCTACAGAAGAATGCATACATTGGGACCCAAGGTAACAAGGGCATGTGTTTTAAATAAAAATAAGTTGATTGTGTGATGAAGACTAAAGTGCAAAACTGGGTGCTTTTTTGAAGAGTTCTGTGATGCAAACCTAGGCAGTACTTTGAACTTCCTATTCTCCCACATGATCCTCAATTTAAATCAGTTTGCCTGCTTTTCTATAGGATGAAGAGATGTTCTGTGATATTGTTGACATTCAGCCATTTTTCTATTACAATCTGTTTATTTGAGTTTTTCATATGAACAACAACAATCCCTTTGCAAAGGGAACAATAACAATTTGGGATTGACAAGAATCAGAGTATTGCAACAGATATAGAAGTTAGCAAGTTTATTTACAGGAATAAACCTCAACAAGATCCTGGAGATCAAGACAATGATCAAATAAAGATGTGTCTAGAAATTACATATATTGTATATCAATATAGAAGTTCTAGATAAAAAGTAGGAATATGAGCACTTTCAAGAATGTATTGTAGCGGCTAGAACACAAAAGGTAACCAAACAACCCCTTTCAATATAACATAAGAAACAGAAAAGTGCAGTGCTAAAGTCAAATGAAGTAAAATGCAAAGTTCCTGTCACTGTTAGCGACAACAAAGTATTAAAAGTCCGAAGGATGACAGAAAGTCCACATGGGGATCAAATATGAAAGTGAAGCATAAGCGTGGGGGACTTGATCCGAAGTAGTAACACAAAAGTAAATAAATAGATTGCGCACTCACCAGAGGTGCGTAAATAATACGCCTTAGAGATATGCCTGTCTCATCGGGTGTGTGTGGGGAGGGCTATTAGGAGGGCTACAGTAGCTGGACGTTTTACCACTGCTGGTGGTCATCCTGAATTCTATATGAAGCTGCACCTTTAAGGGACCTTCCAACGTGCTATACACCTGAGTGTCATACCTGAGACGTGATCCGTAGGCATAGAGGATCCTGACCCTACTGATGACCCCGCATACACCTGATGAGACAGGCATATCTCTAAGGCATATTATTTACGCACCTCTGGTGAGTGCGCAATATAGAAGTTCTGCAGACTGCAGCATATCTTAAATTATATATAGACAACCTGTACATACAGTAAGTGTTGCTACAAAATAATAACAATGAACCAATTCCCTACTTATCATTCAGCCATTTTTAGGCCCCTTTCAAACAGAAGAACTCTGTCCCATTCAGTTTATGCGGAGCGGACACAGAAAGAGCCCACTCTGGTCTGTGGGTGGCCAGGTGTAAACAGACTCCACTGTCCATTTACACTTGACTACCCTCCGATCTGATCTGCCTAAAAGGAAGAGGGCGGATCCCATTCGGGTTTTTTTTTGTTTTGTTTTTATTAAGATTGGACCCTGAGGTAGGAGGGTGTAACACACTTGCCTATACATAGGGGTAAATGGACAATCTGATCAGGTCTTTCTGAAAATCTGACAGACAGGCCTGATTGGACCCGCTGTGTGAAATGGACCTTAATCTCTGATGCTGGTGATAGGAGATACTGTATTTTTCAGTGTGAGCAATATAGACAAAGGTGGTATATGTCTTGGATTTGTTGACTCTTGCAATGTTGTGTAATGTGGAATTATATCATCACTATAGTATTTAGCATTATTATGTTGATGACAGAAATGCAATTGTTGTATTATGTGATGGTGGTGACAGAAGTACAGGGTTGAAATATGTGATGGTAACAGGAGCAAGCCAGCTGCTGTGCACAATATTGGTATTTGGCTCAGGATGGTAAGTGTGTGACATAAAAGTATCTTTTAGTATTGGTGAGAATGTGGAAAAAATGTTAGCACCTCATCAAGTGTTTATTGCTGTCACTGTCCTTACTAGGGCACATTCACTCTTGCTATCGGTCCTGGGAACCATCATCTCAAGTACAGAGTGTAATAGGAAAATCAGATCATTTCAGTTGTCACAGGTACAGAAAGTGAGGGGAAATTTCCCAGTGGGGACAGCTGTTCTTAGGATTGATCTCCCCCTTTTTCTGCTGTGTGCCAGAGACAGGAAATAAAGAAAAGTTCCCCTGAAAGGGACACAAACATTTAACCACTCCCTACTCTATCTAAAACTTTGGATATTATTACTGTTCTGAAGAAGGGGGGGGGGGGGGGGAGAACCAAGATTTATGATTTACTTTCATTTTCGGTGATAAATATGACAAATAGAGTGAATCTCCCACACTTACCACAGAGAGCAATAAAAACCCAACAGGTGTTCTAACCTACATCTTGTCTATCCAAAAACAAATTGCGTTTAGTTGTACATTAAATTAGTTTTTTTTGTGCCTCGAGGTAAGCTTTAACAAAACAACTGCAAGTAATTTAGCACCTTGGTATGTCAAAACCCCCAACAGGGATAAAGTTCCGTTTTTTTTGGGTACCAGGATTATTTTAAATAACATTTCCTCCATTTAGGGTAATCCTTAGACAATAAACTGTAAAACTTTAACCCTATCTTTTTATCATTATGCTATGTGTTCTCTTTTTTTTTTTTCCCAGGACCTATGGAAAACACATTCCAGGATTTCTGGCAAATGGTTTGGGAACAAAATGTATTAGTTATAGTTATGACAACTCGGTGAGTTTGTTTTGGCATTATCCAAAAGAAGCTGTTTACTCTCATTTTTATTCATACAAGTACTTTTGTATTCTCCTTTCCTAAACAGGGTGGAAGAAGGTGGCCATAGAAAGTGTGGTCAGTACTGGCCTCTTTCACCTGGATCTGAAGCTTCATATGGTGCTGTGACTGTCACAAACAAAGCTATGGATAACCACCAGCACTATAGAAAGACCACTCTAGAACTCAGAATCCGCCAGGTAACATTACCTCACAGATCCTGTCCACTTTATGCATCAAATTACATTTTTATTTACAACGTTGTTTGTTTTTTTTTACAACTTTATTCCCGTGCAGTTAGTGCATTAAACAGGCACACTGAAATAAACAGGAGATGCATGACAACATTTTTTTTATTCATGCAATTTTGTGAATTATACTTTTACCTGCACCACAGAAAATCTGTATTCTGCAGGCCTGCTTCACTTTGCATGATGATCAAAACATTGACACATAACACGTGTAACAGTGCTAATTAAAAACACGTGTATTACTGCATTGCATTTTGAGTGAAAGCACCCTCATTCTTTTCACTGCAGCTACTCCTTTATTTTGCTCAATAAAGTAAAGATATACAGTGGATATAAAAAGTCTACACACCCCTGTTAAATTGTCAGGTTTCTGTGATGTAAAAAAATGAGACAAAGATAAATCATTTCATAAATTTTTCCACCTTTAATGTGACCTATAAACTGTACAACTCAATTGATAAACAAACTGAAATGTTTTAGGGGAGGAAGTAAACATAAAAAACTAAAATAATTTGGTTGCATAAGTGTGCACACCCTCTTATAACTGAGGATGTAGCTGTGTTCAGAATTAAGCAATCACATTCAAAATCATGTTAAATAGGAGTCAGTACACACCTGCCATCATTTAAAGAGCCTCTGATTAACCCCAAATAAAGTTCAGCTATTCTAGTAGGTCTTTCCTGACATTTTCTTTGTCGCATCCTACAGCAAAAGCCATGGTCTGCAGAGAGTTTCCAAAGCATCAGAGGGATCTCGTTGTTAAAGGGTATCAGTTAGGACAGGGATAGGCAACCTGTGGCTCTCCAGCTGTTGTGGAACTACATTTCCCATGAGGCATTGCAACGATTACAAAACTGACAGTTACAGCTATGACTTGCAGAGGCATGATGGAACTTGTAGTCCTGCGGCTCTCAGGTTGCCTACCCCTGATAGGAGAAGGGTACAAAAGAATTTTCAGGACATTAGATTTAACAGGGGTGTGTAGACTTTTTATATCCACTGTAAAATAGTGCCTGCTTTGTATTATAAATGGAAGGCACTTCAAACTTGTATTTTTGCTTGCATGTTGTACTGGTTTCTGATATTTTGCACATTCATTTTATCATTGTTTACCAACAGTTTTTTGGTTTTTTTTACTTCCTAACCTTCTTCTTTATTGTTCATTAAGTGATACAGGATTTAGTTATTGTGATTAGAATAGGTTATGCTGCCATGCACCAGAGGATTTAGACATTGGCAAACAAATCCATTGTCAGCAACGTATAACCTCTCCAGCATGCCTTTTTTTTTTTTTTGCTAAATGGATCAGAAGCATAGCACAGCTTCTTGTGTCACCCAGTCTCTGAGGACTCTTTCTGAGTGAGCCATTGAGCAAAATCTGGAGATACCACACTATTTGGTAATGTTAAATGCTACCACTACTCCCCTACTCCCTCTGTTTTCACAAAAGGGTGAAGATGCTGTCCCCTCAAAGAGCCCTAACACCTTTAGTCTAGATTGTATCCCCTACTCCTCATAGTCACCCATAGCTCTGCCAGGGGTGGTCCCCTCTTCTGCCCTATCCAGGGAAGAGTTCTGTAAAGCTATAGTAGATTTTATGGGTGACATTCTTGCAGCTATAACTGCCCCTGTGCCTTCTACTGTGGATTTAAAATATGAAGAAGGGCATCACAGGCCCTTATTGGATGCGTTTTGTCCCTGAAGAGCCTCAGTCAGCTGAATTAGCTATTAGGCTAAAGATAGCATACTGGCTTATATGTGCTGTCACATTTAAAATGAAGTAGCCTGTAGCTTCTACTAATGCTGTTTCCAGTCTAGGTTCCCTGAAAGGGCCCAAGACTTGCTCAACTTTCCTGGGACACAGCTTATTTCAACCTGCTCTGTATGGAGACTGGGACACTCCTGACAAATTTACTCCTCCCAAGCACTTTGCAGACCAATATCCACTTGATGAGGATCTTCTTAAAAAGTTGTCTCTCTACGCTGTGGATTTGGTGATGTCCCAACTTAACAAAACTCTGAACACACCTATTGAGAATGCACCACTGACAAATGTTTGAAAGCCCATACCAAATCCTTATTTCTTAATCATACAGTACAGGACCCAGGCTTCTTTAAAATTTTGACCATGGATTATATGCTGCCACCTTCAGGTAAAGACATTAGTAAACAAAGCTGTTAGGGCAACCAGTATAAATCCTCCCACTCCCAGCAAGTCTCAGTTTTTTGTTAGTGTCCTTGGTGATGGACAACCTTTCTCTACTGATAGCAGATTTATGGCCTATATTTCTGAATTTACTAGAAGAGCGAAGACTTGCTGTGGTTCGTCATACGTAGAAACTCTTCTCTACTTGGCTGCATAGATGCCATTGAGGCAGTATGATTGCAGCTTCCAGATCAGTTATCTGTTGACTGTGGACCCATTGCAAGACACATCTAGAAATAGAAAATTGGGGCAGACCTGTAGAGTGCATTTAGGCACTGGAGTGTATGTGTGGCATTTACCCTTAATACAATAGTACATTGCAGTGAAGTTGACTGCAGAGTGCTGTACAGGTCTATAGCAGTGGTGATCTAAGTTCCAGTGGTTCCAGTCTGTAATAACTCTCTCCATAGAGGAGGGTACCCGCATATGCCCTTCCAAAGTGGATGAAACAGGAAATTCCATCTGGTGGTCAATCCCCTTGGCAGATGTCTGTTTCCTGGTGTGGTAAGCCGGGGGCTTTGACCCTTCCCCTGGGCACTAGACCCCTGCTTTGGTCACTATGAGGTGACCAGCAAGAGCATGCTTTTTATATATTTTGTTACAGCATGGGTCACCTTAAATGGTCTATCACTGCTATAGCATTGTGTGCGTCAACAATCTTTGCACTGATCAAGGTTCTTCGGGAATCCCCTCGACTTCATGGTAGATGGAACATGGGGGACTGGCCAGCACACACTGCTCTTAGGTCATGATGTGTTTGTTCAAAACTCTGCAACTGGGTCTTGGAACTCTCCATGGAATCTCCAATCCTGTGAGTATTCCCTCATCTCCTCAGGTACTCCCATTCCTTGTTGGGATCACAGGATGTGCAAGGTGTAGGTGCCACCAGTCAGTATCCCCTAATGAGTCATTATCCAACTCGTCCATCATGGCAACATTGTTTCCCAATGAAGATGATAAGTGAGGAGAAAGAAGGATGTGGAGTGTCAGAGTCAAAGAATTCCTCCCAGGAGTGTGGACGGTTGCCCTCAATCTTTCCTAAACTGAAAGTTTTTGGTTTTGGTGAATGAGGTGAACTCCTGTTTGAAGTTAGAACCATTTCCAAATGCTGGACCTAAGGTAAAAACAAATTGCACAACATATGTGAGATATCACTGTGAATGAGCAAGATCAATAATTCTAGAGCCATAATTCACCATAGACTCTAAACTGATAACCCATAAATGCTTTTTGAAGCATCGTGTATAGACAATTTTGGGTTTTTTCCAATATCACAAGTGCATGCAATTTTAAAGCTTAACATGTTTAGTCTTTTTTTTACTTGATGAAACCCTCTCTTTTATATTTCACCAAAAATTGTTTATTATATTGTGCATGTTTGCACTAAAATGCATTTAGTGTAATTTTTCCTAAAGAAAATATGCATTTGATAAACAATTGTGCATATATCATGCAACATAAAAGAGAATTCAGCTGCCACCATTTTATTCTACAGGGTTTCTGCTTTCTCAAAATATATAATTGTTTGGGGGTTTAAAGTAATATCTAGCAAAAAGTAGATATTATCATGTATAAAAAATTAAGAAATTAACAAAAACACTTCAGGAGTGACTGTATTAGTTCCTAATGAGGAACAATATTTAGGGCTATTATTCTAATCTGTTTATGGTTCTGAAGTCCAGTGGGGCATTTGCCCATACCAGACCAAAAGGTTCTCAACACCTTCTTAGGGTCCAAAAATTCCAGATGGAATTTACTCCGTCTGTTGTTGAATCTCTGCAACAAGAGACATTTCATTCTATCATCCAAAAACAACAAGGATGTGTATTTGCATATCACCTTCTTTCCCGCATCAGAAGCTTCTGAAATTTGTGGTGGTTGAGCAGTATTTCCAGTTTATGGCTCTTTTCTTTGGTCTGTCCACAGTCCCAAGGTATTCATCAAGGTGCTTGCCACGATTCTTGCACTGTTGTGCTTTAGGGGATTCCACATTATTGGATGTTTGGAGAACTTCCTTTTGAAGCATCAATCCACCCCAGGTCTGATGACCAATTTGTGGTGGACAGTGCGGATGGTTCAGAGCTTTGGGTGTATTTTAAACCTATAGAAGTTTGAGTTGCATGCTTGAAGTACATGGGCCTAGTCTTGGACACAGCTCAAACCAGAGTATTACTCCCCCAGGAATGAATGCTGACCCCTTGAGGTCATGCCCAAAACCTTTGCTCCAAAAAGCTTCCAAATCCGAATTTTATTGAGGGTGCTGAGCTACATTCAAGGCATTGAGATTTGCTCAGTTGCACTCCAGGCCTTTACAGCTCCAGCAGTCCTTGGACATGCCCATGCCCTTCTGCCCCAAGAGAGGTTATCCTGGTGGCTGATCAGCCCTGTACTGGAGTCAGAGAAGTTGTTTCTTCTGTTTACTTGGACAGTTCTCATGATGGTTGCCAGCCTATCGGGCTCGGGTGGTGACATGGTCATCAAGGAAGTCCAGAATTTCCATGCCATACA